CTGCAGGGGGAGGGAGCCGACTGCTCTCCCCAGCCCCTGAGCCACGTCTCTGGCAAGGGTTAATCCATCCGGTATGGCAGGGGCAGCTGGAGGCAGGCAGGGCACCTGTGCATGTATGTAACTGGGGATTCCCCAAGCAGCCGGCAGAGCTCGGGGGGCTGGGGCCGCTGGGAGACAGGCTCAACCCATGCTGGCTGGCACGTCACACGCCTACCCCGCGTGGGGGGCAGGTGGGAACAATGGGCCCTCACAGCCCAGCCTGGCATCCAGGGCACGAGGTAACAGGGATGCTGGAGCAGGAGGTGGAGGAGACCCCAGTGTCACCGGTGCAGCCCTCACGCCCACACCATCCTGCCCAGCGGGAGGGAGCCGAGCAGTGCAGAGCCAATGCAATGAATGGCCCGTGTGTGGCGTCCGGGATAAAAGCCCCTTTCATTGCCTGCCGCCCCTGCTGCACAGACAAAGCAGCATGGCACCTGCTGGCACCGAGACAAGCCCTGAGGGGCTGTAAGCCCCGCAGAGCTCTGCCCCCAGCCAGCTCACAGTAGGACTGGGGCCCGAGAAGGGGAATGGGATGTAAAGAAGTCAAACATCCGCCGCACCTGCCCTTGGGAGCTGGGTATTACCTCCTCTCCACCAACTGGGAAACTGAGGCACAGAGCAGGGGAGTGACTCACCCACGGGCCGAGTTGGGGAAAGACCCCAGGTATAGTGCCCTGGCCCCCCATCCTCTCACCTGCACCCACTCAGTCATACAGGCAGTTTCTTTCCTACCATTACCCGAAATGGATGGAAACCCGGCACTTCCCCCCAGGATTCACTGGATCGCAAGGCTGGAAAGGGCCTCCAGGGGCAGCGTCCAGTCCCCTGCGACAGCAGGCAATCGTGCAAAAAAATCCCACTGCTCACACCCATGGGTGCCCGACTGCCAGCGCAAGGGCTGCCTATTGCAGTTCAAAGCTCAGTGGGTAAGGAGGGTGCAGGAATCGCATCTTGGGAGCAAACAGCCCTCAGCTGTGAGCCAAGGGCAGTGTGTGCAGATCCCCTGTATCGGGAGAGAGATGCAGGCAGGGAACCGTGGGGGAGGCGCTGCTGGGACCACCAGGCATCTGGGGACTCTGAGCAGCTGTTGGCAGCTTGCTCGAGAGCCCTGGGGATGGACAGGGAAGGTGAGTGTGCCCCCGTGCACAGCTCTGATCGAAGCGGGCGCTTCTGGGTTCTGCCCCTGGCTGCCTTCAAGGCCAGACTCAGAATCAGCTCCGAGCTGCCCCGCAAGCACACGCATGGGCCAAGTGCTCCATGCCGCCTAGGACAAGGGTCCCCCAACCGTGCTTTGCAGCTTCCTCCTAACCGAGCACCCAGCATCTGCACGGAAGCAGGGCACGGCCTGCAAAAAGCACGTGCACACCAAAAACACACCACTGACCCCCGGCACAGGTCCAGCCGTAGACAGAAAAGCGGCAGGGCTCTCCTCAAGCTTCGCCCACACCACCAGGCCCCACCCAAACAGAGACCAGCCGTAATATCTCCGGGCATTCAAGGTTGCCCCTGGGGCTCACAGGCAACAGTCCCTTAGCAGGACGCCTCAGGCTGTCTGCAGACTCAGGCAGCCAACGCTGCTCCGGGCTTGCTCGGGGAAAGCCTGGCGTGCTGTGCTGCCCTGGGGCCAGTCCAGGGGCTGCCAGGCTTACAGTCCCGATGATAAAGCATCGCCTTTCCCCTTGTCGTGAGCTGGACGTCAGGAGCCCCCTAGCCATGAAAGACCCCTGAGCTCCTCAGCTGTGGGAGTTGGTGGGGGCCCGTGGCACAGGCTGGGGGCTGTGCATGTTCAACAGCTCCTTTCCCAGCCTCTGCAGCCCTGTGCTGCGTGCTAGAAATAGAGAGGACAGTCCTTCCTGTTTTAGTAATGAGTCAGCCCCCAGCAGCCGCTGGAGTCAAGCAGGGGATTTCAACAGCCACCGGATGTCCAGATCAGAGCCCAGAGCTCCTCGCTGCTCCTGGCTGCCTTCCCCTGAGTTATTGCAAAGTACACTACCCAGTGGGCCCAGCCCCTGAAACCAAAAAGGTCCTGCTCCCTGTGGGAGGGCACAAAGGTTGCTCTGAGGTTGTGCTGCCCACGGCTTTCCCAGAGCTCAGTTCTCCATTTCTGAAGCCAAGAGCAAGCAGCTCCGAGGTGCCGGCCCTAACCCCGTCCTGCTCTGACCCTCATCACAGACGCTCGCCTTGCAGTGGCGGGGGAATTTCTTTGTGGGGAAAGCAGTATTTTGGGCTGGGTGGGCAGCGCTGAGGAGCAGCGCTGCCCACCCAGCGCTGTGCCTCTGGGACGCTGACCTGCGGGACTCTCAGCTGCAGGGAGTCACTGAAGAAAGGCTCCCTGTGAGGCCAGATCCCAACGTCTCGTCCATTCCCAAACACCACGCACAGCTCCTGCAGCAGGATTTAGCTGGAAGGGCACAATGACAGCAGTAAGAAAGCTCATGCTCCGAGGTGAGGGTTGTGGGGAACAGGAAAGACTCTCTCTGGGACATGGCTGCATTACAGGGATTGCATCCCCCTCTGCAGCCTCATTAATCAAACAGGCTCTGTGCACGCGGCCTGGGCTGTTCAGTCCCTATGGGCCTGATTTTGCATCGCCAGGCTGCAAGGCCACCAGTGACATGAGTCCAGAGCGAATGCAAAGCTGCAGGTTCAAGCCTAGCCTGACTCCTGTGTGCCAGCCAGGATCAGGAGCAGCACTGGCTGGGCAAGGGTGCCCTGCCCCAGACAGAAACCATGGGGAGGGGAGGGGGGCCATAAACCCACGTGGATGAAGAGCCAAGAAACCTCAGCCCAGCAGAGCCAGCTCCAAGCCGTTGGCCCAGTGGGAGGAGGTGGCTGCTGTGTCACTCGCTCCCCAGATCTGCGACAGGTGGCCAGGCACATTTTTCTGCGGCTCCGGTCGGCTGTGCGGCTCCCGCCTGCCCCCGCAGTGGCTGCATCTCCTTTCCGTCTGCCTCCAAGCGCTGGCTTTCCTCATCTCCTGCTTCTAAATACGGGGTGGAAGGGGCAGGTTGGTTTCTTCTGCTCTGAAGTAGAAACGGTTTCCATCGCTGTAACTGGTGGGAAGGCTTCTATCCAGGTCTTCTCACAGGGGCAATGGACCCTGCTAGGCCCCGGAGAGCCATGGGGTGCGCAGGGCCAGCTCCTGGGCTTGGTGCTGGGATGCCACTGCCCTCGGGAGATGCCTGCAGGCTTTAGTCCCCATGCACTTGGGCAGGAATCAGTTACCAGGAAGCCCCTGCCTACCGCCCAAGTGTGCGTCTCCCTTGCCAGAGCTTCCCGCTAGGGCTCAGGGCACATGTAGTGCTCTGGGAACTGTGAGAATGGTGCAGCCTGTGCCCAGGCCTCTTGCTCCAATTGCAAGCCCTCCAGGGCGGTTCAGGCTCAGGCAGTAGCCTAGGCTTGATAGCTTTGGAGATGTGGCTCCTTCACCAAAGCCTCCATGCAGCCCTGGCAGCAGCCCCCTCACCTTGCCCACTGGCCCCAGCAGCCCTGGGCTGCCCAACATGGGGCTGG